TATCGAAGCCATTCTTGCTTATGAGTCCCCGTGAGCTTGAATCGCGATCATTTCTCCTTTCTTTTCGTGCAGAGTTTCACCCAGATACGTTGTTCCTACATTTTCCATTATATGGTTGATATCGATCTCTATTCGACCTTGGTTCTCGGTCAATATCCCTCTTGATTCTATTGACGGGTCTGATAGGATAAACGAACCCAGAAGGAGCCCCCAGTTAATCATCCTCGACCCTGATCTTTGACTGATACCGATTGTGCATATCGGCCCAAGTGACAGCTGGGTATTCAATCAAATTCTGCTTCAACTGTTGTGAAGCCACTGAACTTCTAACGTTGAGACCTTGATGAAAGCCTAAACAGCCAAATCGTCGGCGACTGGTGGCAAGTCAATCTGTTCCATTTGGAATCGTGACACGAATTCTCTAAGCATCTCGTTGTCCTTTTGCCTTACCTTGAAAAGGTCCGACTTCCTGGTTTCGACCTTGATGGCCCCGGCGTGTGCCTTTACGAAAGAATCTGCAAGCATAGCAAACGAGTCAATAGAATTAGGCGGTAAATTATGGTACCATATCATAGCACCACAGAGTCTCCCCGAATTTCTTCAGCATGACGGATTCGATCTCGTCATCTTCTAAGTAATTCCCTTAGATAGCACACGTGTAGGAGGTGACATGTTCGTTTGGATCAATGCCCATTATACTTAGGAATCTCGGGCATGCGGAACTTCTTGGGGATTGGCTTCGGAGCCGCACTCGGGGGAAAGGTTTTTGTACGAACTTTTTGGAATCTAGTCCTTTCAATATTGGTGGTGCCCCCGAGATTTGGTCGACCCTGGAGTTATAGGTTTCCACCTTCTTGTTGTTTTCCTCAATCTTTTTTCCCATGTCTCGATTCGCTTTGTCAGTTCTTCGAGCATCTTCATGATAGTAGGATTGGTCTCCGATTCCTTCTCGTTCGATTTCCTTGAAACGAATTCGACCCTGTGTACGATTTCCTGGGATGGATCGTGTTCGACCCTGTTTGGTGTGTGGTTCTGGTTTTGGAGCTGGGCAGTTGCTGCCTGTTGAGCCTGCAACATTTCTAAGGTCACCCTCAGGCTGATCCCGCCATCTTCACTGCCACGTGTACTTTGAGTAGCTGATCAGGCATCCCCGCAAATGCTGCTTTCGGTATCAACAGACAAATTTCCATTGATGGATACATGTGAACTGACGTCGATTGGATCTACAGCCGGAACTCCATAGAGGCCAACAGGGGGTACATCGTTCCCTGGTGCAATGTTCTCATTTTCGCCATGGTAGCCGAGATCATTGTCAACGTGTTGAGGTGCTGACTGAGAGTTTGACATTTTTAATCCTGTTATCAAAGATACTTCAAAGAACAAGTATAAAATAGTGTGTGTTACGAAAGTTTGTACCAGGTAACCACTATTATCCTTAGCCCTACGGTGGGCGCCAAACTGTTTACCCTAAAATCGGATAACAATTGAATTTATACGCGGTTTTAAGGACACGTGATATAACTTGGCACAAATTAAGAAGATAATTAATATTGATATTGACTATGAAAGAATAGATGCAAACCACACAAATTGAACAGCCTTGGCCCTCGAGTTTGTCACTCTTGAACCAAATATGTTTCAACTGGCTTATGAACAGAATAACAAGATAATGAAAGCTAGAAAATGACATTATATTGCTTTGTATTGTGTGAATATGATGTGTTTTACAAATGATCAGACCCCCCTTTATATAGTAGGGGAGTCCTACTCTAGATACAATTCTATATGAGGCAAAAAGTCCCCTGATTGGCTAATTAATCGGTCTCTTCTTGATACGTTCCGGTAATTACGCCGTGATCATCGCTCGATTGCGGATATTTCGATTTTCTTTTATTTGGCTCGGTAAGCTTCTTTGATCTCTATTTTGGGTTCGGTGGAGATTTCTATGATATATGGTCGTTTACTTGTATTTCCCTAAATTCAAGAGCTAATAACATCTAATACTATAATTAAGAAATTACCATTACAATAGTTGCTACATCAGAGGTCAATTTTTTGACAATATATCTTGGTCAAATGAAGGGTACCTTAGCGTAACTGGTAAAGTTGGTGCTATGTGATCAGAAGGTTACGGGTTCAGGTCGTAGAAACAACCTTTTGCAGAAATGCAGGGTAATACTGCGCACGATAGACCCTTGTCGTCCAACCCTTCCCCGGACCTTCTGCATAACGGGAACTTAGTGCACCAGCCTGCTCTTATTTTTTTTTTAATCTTGATCAAATAGCTTAGTTTCGAAATTGTTTTATTTAACCATATGCTATCCATATGCTCAATTAATCTAGATTCATATATATCTTGTAGGGCTTCTTTAAGGAAAAAATATGCTTTCTACCAAAGTTTATTTATTCTTAAAGTTCGAATTCGAAAATTCTGATTATACTTATAGTTTTGAAATAGTACTCAAGCCTATTAAGCAATTATGTAGGAGAAAACACTATCAAATTTAAGCTAAAAGGGGGAGGAAAGGAAAAGTAGAAAAAAGTGACCATACTCACTTGGATAAAAGTCAAAATAAGTAGTACTCCCTCCGATCCAAAATAAGTGATTTTTTGGCCTTTTTCTTGTGGTCCAAAATAAGTGATTTTTTCAGATTTTAAGAACGAATTAATTATTTTTTCCTACATTGTCCTTGGAGTAAATAGTGTTGGAATATGTGTTAGGAGTGTTTATGTGAGATAGTAAAGGTTAATATGGTCAATTCCATTGCTAATTAATGCTAAAAGGTGAATTTCTTAATCTGTTTGAAAACATCCAAAAAATCACTTATTTTGGACCGAAGGGTGTACTAATTTGTTAGTGTGGTCCTAACTATATTTGGAGGTCCCCTTTGTGTGTTCTAATCTTAACTTTAAAGTAGCAAGAAGCCAGAAAATAGAAAGAGAATTGGAAAACATAAAAATAAAAACAGTGACATTGCACTGGTGCTGTCATCATAAAAGGGCAAATAGCAACCACATGCTAAAAAGCTAAACCCTTTTCCATTTTTGTGGTACAATCAAAAGCCACTTTTTATCCAACTTGGGAACTTGTAGCTTTAGTTTGATTAAATCTTAGCTGTCTTATTATATGAGATACCCACCCTTAAATAATAATCTTTGTAATAATGTCATAAATCTTAAAAACGATAATTCCGATACACAAAGTATTTCGTATTCACGTACGCAAGATAGAGGAAGGGTTGCAACCCAAAGGGTATTAACGTAGGCAGTCTAATTTGATACAAACATCAGTGACTGATTTCACAGCTCAAACTCATAACCTAAAGATCACAGGAAAATAACTTTATCATTGCTCCAGGCTCCCCTCAATAATGTCATAAGTCTTGCATTGATAAAAACATTCTAAACCTTTTAAGGAATCTCAGACTCATCCAATGAAGAGTTTTTAGACATAATCATAGTTTTCTATAAGGAAAATGAAGTCTCAACATTCAACAATAATGCAATGAAAAATTGAAACACGTGAATCACTATCATTGTGCTTTTAGAGCACTATTGTGCAACAAGTCAGATATGTACTCCAGCCCTTCACAATACAACCATAATAAAAAATTAAATGTTGTCCATGGTTATTCTCTTAATGAAATGGATAAAAATTCATGACATCAAAGATTAAATTCTAAGAAAGACAAAACAAAAAACTAGGTAATTTTTGTCCATTAATTTAAACTTTAATGAAGAGAGTTACTTAATATTTATACCGATGGAACTCAATAAATTAATTGAGGTGCACCTAAATTAGCTCGGACATTATTGTTATAAAGTAAAATAAATCAAATGGTGAAAGAAATATATATTTACCTTTCAGAAAAGAGAGAAGTGGACTCCAAAGTCAGAAGAGAGGAAATTGATTTGATTTATGGGTGACATTTCCACATCTTGCAGAAGTAGAAATGTTGGTAAATAACTTTTGGGAGACAACATTTGTGTACGAATTGGCTTGTTCTGGCACCTTCATTTTAGAATCTTCCTTTATATTTCCACTTCATGAATTTTAACGATTACATTTACTGCCAACGTAAAAAGTAAAAAGCAAATAAATGAAGATTGTCGTAGAAAAATATTGTAGAGGGGATTAAGTGTAGTATTAAGATTAGGTGTTGATCAAATTCTTAAATAATTGTCTTTGTGGTCCAATGGAAACAAAAATAAGGTAAAAGAATAAGAAAGAAAAATATATAAATAAAATATAAAGTAGAAAGGTAACAAAAGTATAGTGGGGATCCATGCCTAATTATAGAGACTGTACTCAAAAGAAATCACGAGGGGATCCATCTTCATACATGTGCTTTTTTACTACTTAGCATATATGAGAAAATTACGAAGTATTATGTAAATTTTGTTTTTCAAGGAGTTTAAGTTCAATGCAATAATGGTCAAAATAATACTCATATAATTATGCTAATTAAATATAATCATAGAGAAATATTTATATTACACATTAATTGATACCTTAGGAAAAGTAACACAACATACTATCACAAGTTAAACTACTGCTCCCTCCGGTCCAAAATAAGTGATTTTTTGGCCTTTTTTTGTGGTCCAAAATAAGTGATTTTTCCAAATTTCAAGAATGAATTAATTATTTTTTTTCCTACATTGTCCTTGGAGTAAATAGTGTTGGATTACGTGTTAGGAGTGTTTATGTGAGATAGTAAAGGTGAATATGGTCAATTTCATTGCTAATTAATGCTAAAAGATGAATTTCTTAATCTCTGTAAAAATATCTAAAAAAATCACTTATTTTGGATCAGAGGGAATATCATTGTTGAATTTCTTTTACATTATCAATATATATATATATATACCCAAGGGGCCTTTTGTATAACTCAAGCCAATGACTCCAAGTAAAGGGATCTATTCAATATTTTATAGGAAAAAAAGAAATGAGACAACAAGATGGACCTAGCTAGAAGAATAAAAGCTCTTTAGCTATATGAATGAGTAGGTGTCGAGGGCAGGGGCGGAGGCAGAAGCCTGGCTACGGTTTTGACCGAACCCAGTAGCTTTTACCTAAATAATGTATTTTTATTAAGATATTCATGAAATATGTATAAATATTAAATTCAAAACCAAGTCATTACTTATTAGTACTTGAAGTTATCGTTTTAAAATTCAGAAGCCATAAATCTGAAATCTTAGCTCTGGCTCTGGTAGGTGCTAGCATGCTTTGTGCAAATGATTTTGGATTGCACCAGCTGTCGTAAAAGAATGGTCCCTGTGAAAGTGAAATCAGGCCTTTTTGTGCATTACGGTTTTGGATTTATGCCCTAAAGTTACACCAACTCTCAAAGTAATGTGTGGAATGTGAACCAATGAACTTCATTTTCTCCTTTATCTTTCGCATTTCTCAATATTCAGAAGAACTACCACGCAGACAAGCCTACACAAGCAGAAACAAGTGACAGAACGTCACTAATTATTAAATTTGGGCTAAGAGAGCTTACAACCATGGCCTATAATTTAGAAGTCCAACAGTCAAGTAGTTGGGCCGGCCCAATGGGTGGTGTCACACTCAAATTAGTAAAAATAGTACAGGCAAGCCAGTTTTTGATCGATAACCAAAAATAGCCAGTGTTTGCAACGCCATTGAAAAATAACCATTATTTTAAGCGGATATAAAATTTGGACAAAAATACCCTAACTGAAATACGGAAAGTTCCAGCATGATATGTTGGATTATAGAGCTCTAGCGTATAAACTTCCAGCATATTATGTTGGAACTCCAGCACGTTATGCTAGAATCTCATATGTAAAAAATCCGAACTCCAGCATATTATGTAGCAAAATTTTCCGCATTCTTAAGGGTATTTTTGTTCAAGTTTTATCTTTATTTGAAAAAGTGACTAAATTTCGATTACTTTTGAAACCTAATTGTGAATAAGGCTATTTCTAATCCCCCAAATTAGGCCCTTCACTGGTTCACATTTAATTGTAATATTACAATTAAACTATACTTTTTCTTTTAAAAAAGAAAAATCGACAAAAGAAAGCCGAGTCTCGATCATTATCTTTTGCTTGTAGCCGACTCTAAATAATTGTTTTTTTACCGTACTCTTTCATCTTGTTTGCTCTAAGAATTTGTATCATCCTTCCTTTCCGTTTTTTACTTTTACCTCTTGAACTTGGTGTCAACGACTTGGGAATAATTTTTATGTTAATCATTTAAAGTAAATTTCTAAAAAGGCCAAGTCCTCCATAATCTTGCAAAATTAGGAATGCTTAATGTTAGTTGATATAACACCTTCAGCAAAATCCACATCGCCAAAACAAGAAAAAGATAATGAGTATATAAGAAAGCAAGTTCTAAGCCATAGTTGGGCACTTTTAAACCGTGCAAATATGAGTCCAAAGCAGATAATATTACTAGACAGTTAGAATCAATAAGTATATAAGAAAGCAAGTTTCAGGTCATAAGTAGGCACTTTCAAACCTTGCGAATATGAGTCCAAAACCGACAATATCACTATACGGTAGAGTCGATGAGTATATAAAAAGCAAGTTTTAGGCCTTAATTAGGCACTACTTTCAAACTGTGGGAATGTGAGTTCAAATCAGACAATATCACTAGAAGGTAGAGTCGATGCGTATATAAGAAAGCAAGTTTTAGGCCTTAATTAGGCGCTAGTTTCAAACCATCCGAGTGTGAGTCCAAAGCAGACAATATAACTGGACGGTCAAAGTCGATGAGTATATAAGAAAGCAAGTTTTAGACGCACTTCCAAATCATATAAGTATAAGTCCAGAACAGATAATATCACTAGACGGTTAGAGCCGAGCACTAAAAATCTTGCCGTCCGTTGCATGCATCAAATGCCTAGGGGGGAATATTCAACTAACTTAGAGACTTCATGACAAACAAAAGTAAAGCAACTTGATTGGAAGATAGGTGGCATAAAAAAAATAAGAGTATCAAACAAGGGCTTCAAAGTGTCATCAATCAGCTATACATATAATTCGGCAACATTTTCTTTAGAGATTTCCAAAAAAGCAAAACTATGCCGAAATCATAAAGTATATTGGCCGGACACAGAACTTAAACCTTAGGCATTTAAATAGGACAGATCCATAATCATACTTCTTATCATTTCACACGAGGAAAAAAATGGTTAAAACATCATTTTTCCACTTCTTTTTACTAAGCTTGTTCGCTTTAGCTTTAGTGGATTGTTACGAAGCTAAAAGCCTAAAGCCAAATGGTCATTATTGTTGGACTTTAAGCCATTGGGCTTTAAAGTAAAAGAAGAGTGAATTGGAAATGGAGGGAGATTGAAAATTTGAAGAAGTGAACTTTTGTCTTGCACTTTGTCCTTCATTGGTGAGGGACAACCACATTTGTGTGCTTATATATAGAATCACTTCTTAAAGCTCTTAAAAAGAGTTGAAGAGAATGAACCCTCGCGTCGTCGTCGTCGCTCGCTCGGCTTCGGTTTTGGATTTGGATTTGGATTTGTCAATCGATAAGATTATTTTTGGACAAAATTTATTTAATTATTTAATAATTAATTAAATGCCAATCACTGCTGAAAATACGCCAGAACCCTGCTGAAGGTTCAGAGGGCCTCTCTGGCCGCGGTAGAACCGCGACAGGCTGATTCAGAGAGCCTCTCTGACCGCGGTAGAACCGCGGCAGGCAGCGTATTCTTCTGAAAAGGCACCTTTTCTAGACACCTCTTCTGATAATTGCCTATAAATTCTGAGGCAAGACTCCATTTTCTTGACACGAAAAACACTCCAGAACTTCTTTCTTTTTGAATATACTGCATCCTAATTCGCAGTCTCTCTCTCTCAAATTCGTAAGTGTGATTTTGCTCCGTTCTTTAAGTTCGTTGGTATCCTGCAGTTTGTATTGCCACGGTTGCAGGAAGGTTTATTCCGTTTTATCCTAGGAGGATTTAATCCATTACCTTGGCAACGTGTGAGGGGGTTAAAATTCCTTAAGGACACACAAGCAAATTGTGGACTCGGAATATTTCTTAAACTCTTCTGTTTTTTCCAGTTTCTTTTATTTTTCTAACAGTTTTTTTCTGATTTTGTGTTTTAACACAGTAGCGCTCACAAGCTTAAGGAATTATATACTAACGTTTCTGTGTTGAAATATATATTAAACTGTTATTCTTATTTTGTATACTGTTTTGGAGACTAAAGCCTTCGTGCTTTCTACTCCAATAATTGTTCTGTCCGGTTTAAAGTATATAAAAACTTTACCGGAATAATAAAATGTACGGGCTGTCCGGTTTAAAGTATATAAAAACTTTACCGGAATAATAAACGTACGGGTTTGAAGTATATAAAAACTTCACCATTGTTACGTGTTGTATGTTTGGTTTGGTATTCAGTTTGAAGATATCAAAACTTCACTGATTTAACAAAGTTCTGTTGTGTTTCCAACTCTATTCAAAAGATGACGAACGAAAACCAAACTAATGGAAATATTGTGGGAACGAGAGCTACTGTTACGAGTGCTGCTGCCTCGTCAAGCCGTTCTACTCCTGCTCATGCTATGGCACCAGCAGAAAAACCCGGAAAGTTTTCCGGTATTGACTTCAAACGTTCGCAAATGAAGATGCTCTTCTATCTTACTATGTTGAGTTTGCAACGTTTCATCAAGGAGGATTCTCCGGTCATGGCTGAAAATACTCCGGATGATGAACGACTTGTTGTAACTGAAGCATGAAAACATTCTGATTTCCTGTGCAAAAATTACATTTTGAGTTGTTTGGAAGATGGCTTGTACAATGTCTATAGTGTCATGGAAACTTCAAAAGCGTGATGGAATGCGCTTGAGAAGAAGTACAAGACTAAGGATGCCGGACTTAAAAAGTTCGTGGCTGCTAGATTTTTGGATTTCAAGATGATTGACACTAGGTCGGTCATAACTCAAGT